TACCTAGCATATATATTAATTTTTTTTTTTTAGATATATTCATGTGTAAATAAATTAACTGTCAATACAGACTTACACTACACTGGCAACTTTAAACTATACATGCATTGGAAGTGGTAACCAACGTACTCTTATATTTAGAAGAGTGAATATGGAACGTCTAAATATTTTGATATGGACAGTGTATATGTCTCTTACGTCATCGATACTATTTCCGCCTTTATCTCGAAAGTTCTATTCTCACTTACAAGTCAGAGTTATCTTTCTTTGCCCATTGTTTACACACTAGGTAAATAGGGAAAATGAGGGTACCGAAAATCTGCAAAATGTGGAATCTGATTTCAAAACAAATTATATATTTAATATTTGTAGAATAACCTCTGTTATACATAATAATATCTTGAAAAAATATTAAAAAACAAAAAAGTTGAAAATTGACCAAACACAAGTTCACTTCCGGTTCGGACAGGAAGTAACGGAAACACACGAAAACAACTTCGAAACAAAGAGAATGTCATGATCTAATACTCCTGTAAATTTCACATCTTTACCTCAAACCGTTTCCGAGAAAAATTCCGGACAAAAGTGCATTTAAAAAGTGGAAATTCGGCCGTAACTTCGGACCGGAAGTGAATTTTTCAAAAAACGGAATTTTATATAAACTTCATATATCAGCCTACTATCATGTGAAAAATTGTGAAAATCTATCCAACCATCTCTGAGTAATCGCGCTCACAAAATTTGGGAGGAATAATAATAATAATAATAATAATAATAAAAAGAAACAATACAATCACTATAAGTCTTCCGTTGTGAACGGAAGACTTAATAATAATAATAAGAAACAGAGTAAAAACAATATGTTCCCAAACTTCGTTTGGGGAACATAATTATGAATAATAGACTAATAAAGGTAAAATGGACTTCAATGAGTATAAAGTATTTTTACAACTTAGGGTAGTACATGTAATGTGTGTATGAGATTTCAATTTAGGTCATTATAGTATCTGTTTCTGGAGATTATAAACCTCCTGCAAAAATTATACTAAGTACACATTTTCTAAAAGTCCTCTTCACTTGCAGATCAATAGAGTAGGTGGAAATAGCTTAATAAATCTATATAATTACACAATATCATCATTTTTAGAAAAACGGAGGAAATTCGGATTAAAAGTTGGCGATGTTTTTTCAGTGTTTTTAAACATGTGTTATGACTGTAGCTTTGCTAAATGAGTTAAATAGATGAAAATTACAGACAATCTGACAATTTTACTTTTTTCCAAAGATAATTAAAAATAAAAGCATTGTTCACCAATTGGGAAAAATACTGCCAAATTGGAAAAACTGAACTCATTTTCAATTGGGAATGAGGACGAATTTCGGCCCATGAGAAGGCACTGATAAATCCCTTTTATCTATAGGTGTATCCGTGTCTGCTAGGTCGATCAGGGTTGGGCTCCAATATTACGGTATGAATTTAGCCAATTGAGACATCGCAGTTAGAGAAAGGGATCATGCATCCAAGATTTTATTCACTTTTCCATGCAGAAAAAAGTTCTTTAAGTGTGTGTCATTGCTTTCAGTGAGGAATTACCTTGTTACATGACAGAACCGCCATTTTTGGTTTGCACATGTGTTTATTTACGGTCACCTAAATGTTTGTAAAGGGCTCATATATTTATAAGCGCTTATTTGACTAAGATGCATTCTAAAATTTAAAACCCACCAGTTTAGCTGAGAAAAATCCGGAAAAATATTTCGGAAAAGACATTATTTTTATTTTCATGATTGGTGAAAATTAGGGTCGGCGGAATCGTAAACCAATTGAAAAAAAAACTTTGGCCTTACCAAATTATTTATATTTAACCCATTTCCTACTGCAGCCAATTCAGCTGGGCTTATCAGTAATACGAAGGATAACAGAGCTGCTGCTGAGAATGCTCAGTCAATTAGCACCATGTTTACATTCTGCCTGATAATTAGATAATTACTGTCTAAAGACATATAAAAGTATATATTTTCTAAAAGCTCTTGAAATTCTGCTTCTCATGGTATAATTTTCAGAAAGCAGTAGCAATATTATCCTCAATATTACTTTGAGTAAATAAAAGAAAATTTGTAAACACAATTTTTTTTTTAATTCTTTTTATTCACATGCATTTTACTCAAATAAAGTGAATGTGAACAGCATAATTTTTTGGCATAAATTCATAAAACAACCATTTCTGCTTCAAATACATTTCACAGAATAAAAATATCTTGAAAAATAAAAAAGTTATTGCACTTCTTATACATGGAGTATTTCTTGAAATGAATAGCATCAATTTACTTTGCTTCAAATTTACAACCACCATCCAAAAATGACTTTAACAACAAATCTTAGCTATATATATATGTTATTTAAAGTGTTATATGTTGTCAGATAATGAAAGAATAACATCTTTTGAAAAAATTCCCAACTTAAATGTACTTACATAAAATTTATGGGAAAACAACAAGTCCTTGGAAAATATCCAAATGAACACACAATCAGATTTCTGAGCATTTGATTTACTTTTTCAACATCCTCATAATGTGCTTAGAACTGCACTCTAAGTGCACAGCAATGTTACATTGTTGACATCCATCCTCTGTCCCTGTGGTCCAGAAAGCGAACACTCACGGCACACTTTGTTCTTTGGAAACAGTTTCACGATGTCATGAGCAGTAGCCCTGCCCCCACAGTCAACCTTTGGTGGTTCCCTTCTGGCCCTGGTGTCACCAATAAGATCCTCTACCAGCTCCTCTATAAAATCCTGAAAACCAGGCCATCTTTCCCTTGCTGCATGAGTGTGTATGTCCTTGGCGACAATGTACGCATTGTGGGCCGATGCCATCATCAAATAAAAGAAAATGCGGCGCCACCATTTCTTTGATGTGGTTCAGCTGGTAATACCCCACCATTTGATCACAGAGATCCACCCCTTTCATATTTTTCTGGTAATCAGCCAGCATGAGTGGGACCTGCACCACGCGATTCTCGGCAGCTCTTCTGGAAACTTGACCACGGTGGGCTGGATCATGGAAATTTGAAAGCACGATTACTGGTTTTGTGTCTTGCCATACACAGTAAGTCAGTGTGTCTTTCTGAGCAACGTGGAACTCATGTTTTTGAAGGCTTACTTTGCTAGGCAGAAGGTGTTTCGGAAGTCCTTTCCTGTTCACACGCACCGTTCCACAAGCCATGATTCCTCTGATATGAAGATCGTTTAGAAGTTCTGGACTTGTGTAAAAATTGTCCATGTACACACACAGGTTGGATCCAAAATAATGATGGCACAGGTCCATTACAACTCTGTGTGTAAGTCCTTTCTCTTGATTGTTTTCTTTTCCAGTGTATACTTGGAACTTGCTCAAGTATCCGGTATCACTTTCAGCCAGAGCCCAGACTTTCACACCCCATTTTACTGGCTTTGCAGGTAAGTATTGCCGAAAAGATAATCTTCCCTTAAATTTGATCATACTTTCATCTACAGTTGTGTTCCCATAAGGCACATACAGTTCTGTAAACTTGTTGTTGAGATATTCCAAAAGATAGCGTATCTTCCAAAGTTTGTCAGGTGTTTCTGGCTGAATCTCGTTGTTCTGGATGTGTAAATACCTCCAAATTAGGAAAAATCTGTCCCTGGACATTACTCTGTTGAAGTTTGTAGTGAACATCCACTTACTCTGTCTCCAGTAATCAGCTTTGTCTGGAAGTCTTGGATCCCCATGGCAAAACAAAGGGCTAAAAACGCCTTCATATCGGACATTTCAACAGGCGTCCATTTTGGAGCAAACGGAGGGGGTGGGTTTTTTTCTCTTTCCTGACGCGCATAATTGTTAGTTTCTTGAACTAACCTGTCAAGGAGTTCGTTGGTCCAAAACAACTCCATATACTGCCCAGCTGATGCCTCTTCCGGGTGCTCAACTGTTGCGCCACCAACTTTTCTGAATGGATTTCCAAGACGTGGTCAAAAATTTTCAGACACCCATTCGTTCTGAAACCCAAGGAAATCAGCGTCGTCTTCATCATCTTCGTCAAAAATGTTGTAAATCCAATCATCAACATCCCTACGATTTATTTCTCGATCAATATCACCCACATATCCTTCTACTTCGTCATATTCTGCTTCTATATCGCTACCATCGCTCAGTCCTTCATCTCTCTCCGCCATTTTGAAATTACGATCGCGTCAGTGCCTCAGATTTCTTTGTTTTAAACTAAAATTTCCCTCATGAATAGGTATCTAGTTTCATTTTTAATGCGCATGAGCAAGGGAAATTTCCACTTTGTCTAAATCTTGTAAACGTTTTATTCATCCAGGTTTTTATACAGTAATTCTGAGCCCTCTATGACGCTTATACGAAAACAACGACTGGAGTGGTATTCCGAAGGTAGGGTAAACTACGACTACAGTCGTATCGCATAGGAAATGGGTTAATACAGCACTTAAAATCTGTTTTTGCTATTTACAATTTTCTATTACAAGACAAAGTTTTTCAACATCTAAAATTTGAAAAATGACATGCAGCATGAGGAAAGTGGGTCAAATGTAAAATGCACAGTCACGAAAAAATCTTGTTTTATTAATAAATGGTTGAAATACACTTCTGAATTATTAAGTACTAGACCAGAAGGTCTATAATGCAAATTTTATTAAGAAAATTATTAAACTTATGATAATAAAAGTTAGGAAATCCAAACATTACACTGGGTGGTTTATATTTGATATTTATGTGTGACTGACTGGAAATAATTCTCCAAAATAACATCCATTTATGTATAAAATAATCGAAAGTAATCGAAAAAGTAATTATAATTACATTGAAAATTTTAGATGTAATCGATTAAATTACGATTACAAGTAATCGAAAATCACTTCGATTACAGATTACTGTCGATTACTTGGAAAAAAGTAATCATTACAATCGATTACAATTACTCGATTACGATTACCCCATCCCTGATCCATACATACCTGATATATCTCATTGGACTTGTGCTATTGCTGCGTGGCTTTCTTTCTCGTTCTGGTGTTCTTTTCCTTTCCTTGGATTTACTGCGACTCCTCCTTCTTTTTTCGCGACTCCTACTGCGTTTTCTGTCCCTTCGGTCTCTGTCACGGTCACGTCCTCGATGTCGGTCATGATCACGATGTCTGTCCCGATCTCTTTCCCTGTCTCTGTGGCGATCTCTACTTCTACTCCTGCATAAAAGATTCAAATGCAAGTGACTTGACAAAACCATGCTGTATCATTCGAAAAACTGTGGATAATTATCTGGAGATGTACATATAATCAGTAATATTCCTATTGAAGTGATTTGCAAAAACTAATTATATGGAGGTGTAAATTAAGGTATTCAATGTATAATGACCATATTTTGTACCTAATAAATGAATGGTCCGATATTTTAAATCATGGTAGCATTTTGAACATGTAATCAAATATAAATGCTCCACCAAAAGAATTTATAAAATTTTGATTACTGTCCAATTAATTGCACCTTGAATTTTACATTGAACTCTATGGGCAGTGCATGTTTTTATTAGATATTGTAAAAAGTAATTTAAATTTCAAACAAATCTCTTGGTGAAAATATGCATAAACTCCCTCTTTACTGAACTATGAAATAAAATGAATTATTTACCACAGAAATTTTGAGATATTGAAAATTTTCTTTTTTTTCATCAAGGAGAGATAACTCTTCAAAAACTTTTAACGTTCAAAATGACCGTCTCCCTACATGTTATAAGTCGCGGGAATTTGGTTCATTTCACTTTTATTGTTATCTAGCAATGCATTTTTGACTAGTTTAAAATTATTTAAAATTGTTCAAAATCCCTTCATTATACATTGAATACCTTAATTGAGATAACTGTAGTACATTAATACTACGGATGGGTATCACTAAAAATTTCGTATCGTGATATATCACGATTTTTTCCCAAAAATATCGCGATATTTTTACATAGAATTTTTACTACAATTTCGTATGAATTTCTGCATTTCCTAAAAATATGCTATAAAAACATAACTTTACTTTTTAAATATTTATTTATCTAATATAAAAAATGTTTGGACGCAGCTGTTTAACTGTTTTCAACATTTTTACACTTCCTGTAATTGTCATTTCAATAGATTGAACAAATAAATGAATAATATCCGGAATTTATAGTTACGTACCAAATATCGGTATTTTAATCTTCGTATCACGATATGTATTGCGCAATAAAAAATCGCGATATACCGGTATACTGATAAAATTGCGCATCTCTAATTAATACGTTTATTTTCCAGCAATGAACCTCTACCCCAGTGTTCTCCCTTCATTTCAAAGTAAAGGGTTAGAGATCAGTTGTAACAGGCTTTGGGTTGAAGTTTATGACAAAACTTTGTGGACCTTACGACAATTAAATTTTTATTTTTTTTATTTCAAAGGGGCATTTTTATCAATTGAAGCGGTCAATTTGGCTGGTAGCCAGTTATTAGGGAAAACACTGCTACCCTACTTTTAATTATTAATTAGTAAAATATTCCATTAAGAATATTTGTTGTCACTTACCTGCGTCTTTCACGATCACGATCTCGGTCTCTGTCTCTATCTCTGTCACGACTTCTATCTCGACTTCTCTTTTTCCTGCAACATTAATAGCTCATCTAAATATGCTTAACAGTAATTTTTTGTCTATATTAATGCAATTCAAAGATTTTTAGGGATATTTTCAATAATACCAACCAACTTTTAATCATGAAAATTTTACTTTAAATGTCTGGATTGTATTACTATTGAAGATGTATAATCATATCATGTCCTTTTTAAACACAGGAAGAAGTTTCATCTTCATTAAATTCATTTTCAACAAATCCTCCCTCCCCAACAATGTTGACAAGTTTTAGACAAGAATGAATACTGGGCTGTGTTTTTAAAAAAAAAATGATTTTTGGAATATGGAATACATGTACTACAAAGTTGACCCCCAATTCAGAGACATTCTTTTCTACAAGCTGATGGCAACACAGTGCAAGATCAGGATGTCACCTGAATATTAATTAAGTCTTGCCATCTGACATACTGTACCTTGTTTAACATGTGACATAATTCAACAGCTTAGAATGCCGAGATTTATCCCCTTTGATAGGACCCACAAATTGAGAATACCTAGATATAACATACAGAACTTGACATTAAAACTCCCTTTACAATAAAGATCTTAATTTTTAAAGAATTAAACATTTCTTTGTTCTTTCTTTCCTCATCACCTACAAGTTAAGTAAATGTAATTTCAATAAGATTTGTGGGTTTTCCAAATTATTGAAATTGTTGATCTGTGCTAAGCTCATGCCAAACTCTGGTTAACTGTATGAAATTCAAATGAAAAGTGAACACTTGTGGCCTCCTGTAAATGACAGAAATTACTCTTGAGATGATAGTTTATGCAACACAGGACTTATGAAATATAGCAAAGTTTCTCTCCCTAATACATGTACATCCTTTAAGCAGGGCCCTGAACACATCTACAATATACCAATGTGGAAAACAATTAATACACGCCTACAGTGTTGCAATTCCTTTTGCATTCTTGTTTTCAGCTGCTTTTTGCTCAGGGCATGTGCTCATGAGTGTGAATTCTAGAAAATGAAATGTCTAATGAAGGAATGTAATATGTTGTTTGCAATATCTGTCGCAATGAAGATGGTTTTCTACAGCAAAAGTACATCAATACAAATTTTTCAACTTTGGTATGTTTTACCCCTTATATAAGAAAAAATATGCTTTGCGCAGGAAGTTTAATAAACCTTCATCATTTGGCACAGTGATAGAGTTTACATCAGCAGCCAATATGTCTACAGATTCTGTCAACTATATCTGACATCACTTAAAAAAAATAAAATTAATTTTTAGTACCTTTTCATCAACTTAATTTGAGGAGTTCAATCCTGATGTAATAAACTTTGCTAATCTCTGTTTAAAGGTAAAGGTATGTACATTCCTTTTTTTAAGGCAGGAAAAGAGGGGGAAATGTTGATCTCATCTTACCTCTTTTGTCTATCTCTATCTGCATCTCCTCTTCCGTCATCCTGTTGTCCCAAACAAACAATCAGTCACACACCAGGTCAAAAACAAAGGAAGAAAAGAAAAAGACAAGAAAATGCATTAGTATGCTTCAAATTCATTTCCAGTACTATCTCAACAAGCTTTTCAACTGTCTTCAGTCTCTTTATCAATTTATTGTTCAAAATCAACATGACTGGTGAAAAGTTTCTTGCCAAATGTTTCAACTGAAAAGCTTGTTATACATTACAACATCAAGTTTACGTACCAATGCGAATTACAAATCTGAAAGAGTAAACCTGCAATAAAGCCTTACATTCTAGTCACACATTAACATACACTATCACACACTGACAGCTCTGGAGTGAAGTCAATCTCCTCAGGTCAAATCAGCACAAAGAAATCAAATTCTAGTCTTCAATCTTGCATTCCTCCATGTAAATATATAAGCATTTCTCAGTGTATTTAGAAATTATCTAAAAATGCAAATGCCTGAGGAATGCTGCTGTCATACAAGAAAACATTCTCACATGCTCTCATACAGAAAAGAAATCTCAGATAGGGATGAAAATTAGTACATCATCAGTCAGAGCCGATCTCAGTTTCTCTTCTGTCTTTCCTTAGCTGGCAACAGTCCTCCTTTGCTATGCCAACCCTATGATGAGAGGGAGGGGCAAAATTCAGTTGTCTTTCACAATTTAATGGCATAAAAATTTTATTATATTCACTTTCATTATTTTTTTTTCATCAGAGATAGAGTTTACTTTGTCATATTTAACATTTAATGAAATGCAATAAATGAATAAAAAGTGAACATCGGCTTCATGGAGTCTGATAGGCATACAACCATCAGTACCTTTCTACTTGCATGGGAATTTCACTTTTGTTGTGTACATGAAGTGGTACTATGGAGATATCTATGGATAGAACCAAACAAACCTTTATTACAAAGAAAGTAATTACTCTTGTAACAGACTAAAGAATCCAAATATATCTGTCATATCCTTCGATAATTAATCACTAACAGTTAACCTATGGTATTCTCTAATTAATGGATTCTTGAAGGAACATAATTAAGAAAAGGTGACTTTATGCAAGATTCTTCTTGTAAATGCAAAGCTAAATTATGCATATCTTGCCAAATTAGTCCCTTCATGTTTTCACTAGCATTTTTCACAAACCATTTTCAACAATGTATATGGCTGCCCACTCCACAGGCCACGCAAGGAACTTACATGACACTGAAAAAATACTAGACTCACAACAACCATAACAAGGAAAGTGACTTCAACATATACTCAGAAATGAAACTCCACATTACTTGCCTCTTTCCTATACGGAGCCTCCAGCATTGCCTCAACATCTAAATCATCTGCCATTTTCTCAGTCTGAAAAATATTTCATAACAGATAATTTCACAGTCTAAAAATAATATACATGTATAACTATATTCAAAGCATTTTGTTATTATTTAAAATAGGTCCTACAGACCCTAAACATATCTTCATTATTGCAGCACAATAGATGTAAAGGTATACCTCTTATTTCATTAAAATCCATAAGAAATTAATATAAAATGCTGAATATGTGACAAAGGTATACATTTTCTGGATCGTAATAGGATATATTTTTTGTTTTTGGTGAATTGCAGTTAGGGCTGTTATGGTTCCAAAATTTTTTGGGTTGGTTCAGTAAATTTTCGATTTGGTTTGACACTTTGATACACCTTTTCTGCCTTCTACTTTCATTTTCCATTGAGCCACCCATTAAGTTTATGATATACAGCGTTTTTTTTTCCTTATATAAATGGTACCGATAAATGGTACCATTCCCAATGCCAAAAAACGTTCATTTTTCCCAATTTTGAGACTAAAATTTCCCAAATTAACTGCCAAGCAACAGTCTACGATGACATCTTTTTATATGAAACATTGTACAAGTTGACCGATTGTTTCACTTCCGCTTAAATCGAAAGTAGAGAGTAGTCATGATATGGCAGGACCTGTGGTGTAGACAGTGTAGTGTCATACACTTTAACAAACTGAAAGCATGAAAATGCGAAAACAAGGGACATTGATATGAAAAACAACTAGAAATCTGACCAGTCAGCAAGGGCCCCGCCGAGGGGTAGAAATATAAGGGTGCAGATTAGGGGATGAGAATTTTACTTGAATATAAAAATTTAAAAATATATAAAGAAGAATAAGCAACAGCAACTGCTAAATATCCAACAACCTGTAAATAGTTTCTTTGTATTTACATAAGGCAGTAAAAGAGAATTTTACTTGATTACAAAAATTTAAAAATATATAAAGAAGAATAAGCAACAGCAACTGCTAAATATCCAACAACCTGTAAATAGTATCCTAGTATTTACATAAAGGCAGTAAAAAACATTAATCTATAATAACTCAATTAAATGTATATTTAAAGAAGAATGAAGCATGTGTTTTCTAAAATGCCAGCCTTCAGTGAATGCAAATATCACCCAGGCTTGACCTTAACTTCAAAACAAACATCAGCTGCAGACAAAGGTGTTAATCAAATTTAAAGTGACAGAAAGATAACCCTCTAAAATTTTCTGCAAGCAGCAAGATAATCAAACCCAGGGGATTAATTATACTGCTCTCTCAACCTTTTTTTCGAAGTTTACAATAAGAACTTTTTCAGCAATGATAGAATGAGGTTATTATCTGAATACCTGTTAAAATAAATAGTATGCTTGATTTTACATAAGGCAGAAAAAAAGAAAGAAAAAAGAAAAAGAAAAAATAATACATGTAATAAAAAAGATATCTTTATCTAAAACTTGTTTTTAGAATTCAATAAAATCATAACTCATTGTGTATTTTACCAAAATAAAGTATGAACATTATTCATGTTATTTAAATCCACATTTCAGAGAATGTAAACATCATTCAGAATTGACCATAACTTCAAAACAAACTTCATTTGCAGACAGAAGTGTTAATTAATCTCAATGTGGCAGATAAGATAAATGCTTTGGATTTTCTTCATGAGGAAAGTTAATTAATCCCAAGAGATTCATTGCAGCCTTTTCTAGTTTACAATAGGAACATTCTCAGCAGTTATCTCTCTTTGCCCATTCACCCTTATATAAAGATAAGGAATCTACCCCACCACCCCAGCTCCAAACCGGATGACATTGAGAACCAAACTTAGCATCAAAATATGTCTTACTGCCTATTCAACCAACATACAAAATTTGAAGTTAATTGGTCGACCCTAAAAAAAGTTATTAGAAAAAAACAGAAAATTTGTGGACAGAAGAAAGACGGACGGACAGACAGACAGCTAGACAGACCGACAGACAGAGTGATTACTATAGGGCACCCGCAAATATTTGCGGGGCCCTAATAAGTAACATTTTAAAGAATAATGTAAGTATGAGCATTATAGTGAAAGAATGGTTTATTAAATTAGTGTTTCATGAGTAAGTAGCCATAAAATTGAACATAAAATATTCTCCCGTTTAAACGGTACCATTTCGTTTATTTCTGTTCATTTAAACGTTTACAAAATTCAGTAAACGTTTCACCCTTATTTACGATGTTTTTAAACATGTGTTCTGACTGTAGCTTTGCTAAATGAGTTAAATAAAGGAAAACTACAGAAAATCTGACAATTCTACTTTGTGTTTTCCAAGATAATTAAATATAAAAGCATTGTTCACCAACTGGGAAAAAATACTGCCAAACTGGGAAAATTGACCTTATTTTCAATACGTTCTATTTCCATTAGTGAACTCTTCAAAATTAGAGGCGCGTTTGGTCGTCTGACTGGGACAGCATGGCGTTGCGGATAATACAAAACATGCCAATCTCAATCCAATTTTAAATGTTAAATGTATTTGTCATTCCAATTAAAGAATAGTAGAACTAACAGACATATGTAAGAGAGCGAGAATCCTAAATTTATCATCCATTAATAAAAAATGCGACATTTCCGAGGCATGTGTATTGTATTTAGAGGTACCATACGATAAATAGATACATACGATCCACAATAGATATAAATTGATATCGTTGTCATTCCTACTCTTGATGTATATAAAGTTCACAACAATAAAATATTTCGTTTGCATTTTCTTAGGATTTGTTCATCAACATTCAACATATTGTTTACATCTTTATGTTATGTTTGTCCCAGAAATCCCGTGAGATTTGTACATTTTCCGACTTTTTCACAAAAGAGCGCACTAGGAAGTATAACTCTTCCATAGTGGAAATAGAACGTATTGGGAATGGGGCCGAATTCCGGCCCCTGAGAAGGTACTGATAAATCCCTGCATGTTGCTATTTTTTACTAACTTTTCATTGAGTATAACATAAACAAATTTCCACAAAGTATTAATTCCTTTTTGATTTTATTTAGAAATTTTGCGACACATTTATCTTACACAATTTTTTTAACAAATAAAGCAACATTTTCCCAAATTTTTAATTTTTTTTAATTTTCATCCTGGTAACATTAACATAAAACCAGTGTCACCTTGGGTAATTATTGTCATCACAGGGTTCTCATTAACGCAAGAATCTGCGTCCTAGACGCAGCAAAATTACTTGGGACGCAAGGTTCTTAAAAACGATGCGTCCGCGGACTCATGATCGGACGCGTCCTCGTTAGCGAGAAAATTCGGGTGATTTCGAAAACGGGGAATTTAGATGTTAGGATTTGTCAAAGAAATATTTAATCGAAACCTTCCTGTAACTATCATAAAGTTTATCCAAGAAACAACTTTTCTTATACTTACGAGGGGTTATCAAAAAGTTCGTGGACTGATGCGATAAAATTAATACTATGTAGTCGTTGATTACAAAATTTATAGGGAACATAAAACAACAAAATTTGAAGAAGTGTTGAAAATTTCAGCTTGATATGTTGATTATTTGCCAAATTATCATTAAATAAAAAGGGAATTATATGATCACCCGGCGCTGTCGCCGTTTAGTTTCATGACGTCCGACAACGTCATTAATTCTCAATGCACGCTCCTTCTGCCTCAATACACTTATCTTGATGAGATTCTCTGGAGTAAAGTAAAGACCTAAATCCGTCAAGTTTATATGAATTTACAATGTCATGAACTCCTGATTTCAATGCATTAATATTGTAATTATTAAATCAATACATAGGAAAAGATCCTCTCTTGATTTTGCCACATAATTTTTCTTGTCGGCGTTCAATGTCAACCAATGATCAACGTCACTTTTCGATGTGACTGACTTTGGACACCCTGGCTACAAATCGATATTAACCGTGTGTTTCTTTTCTTGCTGAATCTCTTTTGGTATTTAAAAACAAGTATTTTGGATGAATTTTATTTTTCTGTAACCTGTTAAACATTTTCTAAGGCTATGCCAGGTTTTCCAGGGGCTGAAACCTTATAGAATGTTGTAAAATGATACCCTACCCCCTTTCGACGTTATTTTTAACCCCTTTTTTGTTTGGACATTCAAAATAAAATTTACGATAAAATTTCATTGAATGTACAGAATGAAGTAAAACTTGCAACTTTTACGAAAAAATTGTGTCATATCACTTGAGTGAAATAATTGGATTTTCGGATGCCAAATGCTCATGTAAGATAGAGTTTTTCTAAGTTACACTCAGGTGTAAAATACGTTCTTTTCGAGGTTGCGCCGCCTGGACATACCATTGCTTACAAAAACATTTACGATTCACTAAAAAAATAAAACTTATGATTTATAGTTTATTTTACAGTTAGAAAAGATGATGCTTATTAATTGTTTAAAAATTCATTGATGTACATATAGCGGTTTTATTTTTATGGCGCTAGTCCACGAACTTTTTGATAACCCCTCGTACTTCTCTTTTTTTAAAACAGGAATTGATATTAAGATATTTCATGTTTATTAGTCCATAGTCATAATAGTGTCGCATGCCAAACTCCGACAGCTGTAAACACACTGCAGCTTTTTTTTAAAAACACTTTTGAATCTTGAGTGTTATCTACATGTAGAAACCATAATTACTGCTTGTATACACAATGCGGCTTGATTATCTCGTGAATTTCACCCAGTGCAGACGACCGACAGGATTAGTTACGCCTCATTGCACATGACACCTGTGATTGTATACAGTCAACTTCTGGGTACTAGTTGATTATGCAACAGTTAATTTTAGCTTTATAAACACCAAGTTATTTTTATGGCAATTGATTACGCGTGTATTTTAGAATATAGCTTGAATGCATTACCAGTTTATATACTTGAATATGTTAATATTGCGTAAACAAACTGATAAAATGATAAAGATTTTCATTGATGTTTGGATGGAAGGATACTGCAATAATTTAGTTGGGACTCAACATAATTTTTCTGGGACGCATCAAATTTAGCTGGGACGCAACCTTCTCAGAAACCTTGAGTCCTGGGACTCAAGTTAGCAAAATCCTAGTGAGAACCCTGCATCAATTACATCTGTTTTGAACATGTTTTATTGACAATCAAAAGGATCAGAAACAAGTTCTATCAACTTACTAGTTCCTCTCATTTAATTGCAACAATTACATTTGTTTTCTAGTCAGTGAGGAAAAGTATGATTATGTTATTTACTTATTAAGTACCTCATGGTCGCATTATGACACTTAGAATAATTTTTCCTCACTTCAAAGTTACGAGCCATGTTGACATCTGGAACTCTCTGGATTGTTTATAGAAAATGCACAGAGCTCGAGTTATCGCCCGTGTTTTTTATGTTACATTGCCAATACATGGAACGAATTCTAGCGTTAAACCGGGTCCGTAGGACAATATCATTTTAATGATAGAACGTTCTATCTATATGACACTTGTCACAAAAAATAACAGTGATCCGAAAATGTTCTATTGATAGAAGCATGATTAGACGATTTAAAATAATAATTGTTAATCCCCACTTCTGCCCTTGTACAGGTTGGGCACACACCACCAAATGGTCATTTAACCCCCGTTTGGTGGTCAATCGCCCATATCGGAGTCGGTTTTACTGACCAAATGGTGGTCTTTTTTATTTAAATCCAATTTTTATTAAAATAACACAAAGGCGCATTGGCATGGGCATCGGGGAATTTTAGTTAACATATTCCTTGCACAATTAATACAGTTCGGTAGATTTTCCATGTGTAATTTCTGTGGAACTTCGTAACAACGATACATACAGCTGTCTGTGATGGCCGAACTTCTTGCACAATCAATCCCAAAAAATATTTTTTTGTGTCTAGTTGGATAAAAATTTTATTTAGACCAATGGTCTAACTCTGTAGAAGTTAACTTTCAATCGATCTTTGGATCTTCGTCCAAATAAATCTCTATAAAATCCTGTTAAACAATAGCTCCTCATGCATTATTGGTATGGTGGGCACTTATTGCTATAATATTCATTTTTTGTACATTCGAATGTAACATTTATTTTTTTTCTTTTAGGATGAAGTTACGATTTCTGTGCGACCTTTTGTGGTTTACTATGCATATTTATGATAAATCTACTATATTTAATCGATGATTTTGAATAAAAGATTAACAAAGTGACAGTTGAAATTATTCTTGTTTTTATTCCAAGAACATCATTTTTAAGCAATAATTATAATATCATGATCTCACTGTATATCCTATTTTTATAAAGAATAAAGCCAGGGCGTACAAAATAAAACAAAATAAAAGCAAATTCCTCTCTTTTCTTTTATTTCCTAATTGAAAATTAACACTAATGTGCCTCTGTAGTTAAATCAGACTTTTGACCAGGTTCGAAAAAGACCATAATTTTTTATTGGTTTAAATTATTTGATTGGTTGCTTGGATGATAGAAATAGAAAGTAAGAAACACGATTGACAGGTGCAACAATGTTTGGGAAGGAGAAAATTTTTCTTTTTAAGTTAAAATGGAGAAACGTTGCACTTGTTTACGTTGGTGATGATTTTGTCAATTATTTGAACGATACTGCAAAAAAAAACACCATGTTGAATTTCTGATTTTTTTCATTTAGAGCACTGATAATTGTCTATATTTCATTCCCCACAAGTTAATATTATGCGCCATTTCACGCCATTCTGCGGAATTGAACAAAACGGTTTTTCTCTCCCAAATGGTCAGTAAATACCGACTCTGATATGGGCGATTGACCACCAAACGGGGGTTAAATGACCATTTGGTGGGGTGTGCCCAACCTGTTGTACACGTTATTTTTGAAGTGAGGGATATAGTCAGAGGATTTTCGGATTAAATAATTGTACTAATTACGTCTAAGCATAATGAAGACAAAAAGTATCATATAATTTTATTAAGCGATCAAAATATAAATTCTTGTCACTGTTTCCATATCATATTGTCCTGTTGACTTTTTAGTTCATTCGACGGGCAGGAATCATACAGACTCGAAAACGTCAACATGACGCTACGTAAACATATTGAAATTTCACAGATTTTTTTTTGTTAAGCTATTTCTACAAAACAAACCTTGTTCTTACAGTTTTTCCTCGTCCCCCTTATTAAACGTGACAGGTAAGGTAATTAGTAATTGCTTCTTTTTGGTATTTTCAGTTCCAAATGTGATGACAATGACCGTGATACGTTTTCCTAGGTTTTGGGGTGCCCTCGAACAAAATCAGGGAGTTCCGGTTTATAACTGCATGTTAGGCTGTTCGTATATGATTCGTGTAACATGAGTATGTGCGTTCATTAATACTACTTTGAACACTTAAACATTTTGAAGTATTTTAGATTTAATTAAAATATAATAATAACAGATTAGACAAATACAGATATATCTTTCATACAGTCGTTTAACTAATAGCGAAATATATATATATATATAAAATCTTACTAGATACTATAGATAGAGTCAGCTTTCCGGAAGAATTTTTTTTAGGGGGACATTCTACTGTACAATACCGATAAACCCGAAGAATCTTTCAAGGAAGATTAAAGTGTCGCGCGCACTTACCTGCATGCGTACCTAGTCTCTAATGATGCTCAGAGTTTATTGTGTACAGTAATTCATCAGTCATGAGGAAATACACAAAAAATTTAAATGTAAAGTTATGGCTTATAAATAAAACTTAAAATTCTGGGGAAAAAAAGGAAAAATGCATAACAATGTAACTGCAATACAGGTTCTTCCATGTTTCATCCGATGCTGAAGTTGGTAATCATTTAATTTCAATATGTCCGTTTTAAAGACGCATGTAAAATGAGCATTTTAGCCTGCAAAAGGCGTTATAACGACTTTAAAATTTTTTTGCTCTATAGATTGATCCTAATAGGCTTTCGTAGAATACTACCCAATGAAAGGTTACATAATTATTTGTTGACAAGGTCATTATAACGACCATAGACTTTACAAAATGCAGACTTTAAACAGTTTTTTGAAATCCCTGTAACATCAACATAACTGTTAGTAGCCTGCCTCGATTTAAAAATTGATCGTACTCAGAGCATGTTCTTGAATATCGAATAAGTTGGGAGACTTAAAAACCATATGCAGGTGATAGCAGAACGTTACTACATATTAAATAAGGAAAGCTGACGATGGAAAAGCTGAAGTCATCTTGTTTGTCATACAATTTTGTTATTAGTTGGCCCTTATTGTGTTTAGTCAGGAAAGCATCCAAATATGAAACAGATATGGCAGACTCTGTGGTGTCTTTAATTTCAAGTTCACTGGGATTTATCGAATCGACATATGAATGGAAGTAACTATAATTGTTAATTCATAAAACGTCGTCGATATATCTGAATGTCGAGTTGAAGGCCACAGCAACTATTTTCTTCTTCTCAAGTATAAGTTTTTGAATAAATTCTGCTTCAAAGGAATATAAAAAAAATCAGCTAATATAGGAGCGCAATTAGTGTCCATCGAAATTTCAACAGTTTGTTGGAATACCTGGTCTCCGAAGACTACAAAAATGTTGTCATTAAAGAACTCCAGCATCCTTTTAATTTCAACTTCAGAGTACGTTTGTGTAGAGTCAGGGTGATTTTTTTTTTAACAAAGTAGTTTTGTTGCTGACCAATCATAAGATACGAAAATTTCCGAGTCCCAGTTTTATTGCAGAAGCAGGCATTTTTCCTTGTTCGCCCATCTTCTTTTTTTCTGGTGTATGTTCAGCCACGTGAACGCGTAACAAAATTTACTCGCGTGTGCAGATAAAAGCCTCTGAAAAGTGTATTATATCCTATGTTAGAAAGAACAGTAATCTTCTGCTGTGACGATAAATCCAAATATTGTGGAAATAACGTTTGAAAAAGAAATGCCGAAGAAATGGAACTGCATGGATGGGTGAAAAAAGAATATTCTTTTAGTGTATATAGAAAGAACAAATAGTTGACTGTACAACACTAAAGTATATATGCTAAGTATTTACAGAATGCTTTGAAATTGCAAAATTAATACTGATTTCCACAGTTTGCTTGTGCATATGAAAGGATTGCAAACTTATATTTACATACCAGGAGTTAAAATTGTATTTACGTGAAATTTACACCTAGCTGTGTGTAAATGTGCGCAGGTGAATGGGGATTATAATTCACTTTCATTCAGTTCAATCATTGATATACACATATAAATTGATTTTTGTCAGAAGATAATAAAAAATAATATATATAAAGTGTGATTTTTTCATATGAGTATTACAGTTTATGTAAACATGACTGTATCATACAGTTTAGAAGTGCAATATATTAAGGTAATTATAAATATGCAATGTAATACAGTGCACTTATCAGAGACTACCTCTCAAAATTCAAAAGATAAAGGTTGGATTAACGGCTCGGAAGATTCTTGTATAGTAGGTCAAAGGTCACATAAATTGTACCACTGATAGTTTTCAATAGATATGACATGAAGTGCTTCTGCTAATTAATATAGTTTATGACAGCATTATGGACAATTCTGAACAGGAGGTCAAAGTTCAAATTTAAAGTCACGAGGTCAGCATCGCACTGTTCTGTAGGTGACTCAGAAAAGGTACAGGTATTTCAAACAAGAGGCTCATCGGCAACATCACTCACCTGAGGCCTGTTCAACAGAGCGAACGTTCGAGAGCGCTCGCCAAAATTCCTTATCGTTCCAAAAGAAATGTTCGCGAGCGCTCGCTGTGTTGAACATGCCTCTGAGCACTTTGGCAAGTAAAAAGCAGAAATCAGTGCAGTTTTGAAAGGTTTAAAGATAAATGTGGTTTCGACATTTGATCTTCTACTGAGGCCTTGTCATACCACCAGGGACATGATTAGACCACATTTGAAACTACTTTACCTGAGGATGCTTCTGAATTAATAAGATTGGGTTTGATGTTCTTGAGAAGAATTTTCCCTCATATATATACCTATGTAAAAATTTGATCCCCCATTGTCGCCCCGCCCTACCCCCGGGGATCATGATTTGAACAAACCTAAATCTACAATACCTGAGAATGCTTCCATATGAAAATGACTCAACAAGACTTTGCTATTCTTGAGAAAAAGAATTTTCAAGATTTTGTACTATTTATTCCTATGTAAAAATTTGATCCCCCATTGTGGCTCCACCCAACCCCCGGGGTCATGATTTGAACAATCTTGAATCTACTCTACCTGAGGATGCTTCCATACTAATATGACTAATCATGGCTTTTATGTTCTTGAGAAGAAATTTTTTCAATATTTTTAGGTCTGCTGAGCTGAAAGCTAAAGTGAGCTGTTCTGATAACATTTTGTCCGTCGTCCATCTGTCCGTCCGTCCGTCTAGCCGTCTGCCTGTCTGTCAGTCTGTAAACTTTTCCCATTTCCGACTTCTTCTCCAGAACCACTGGGCCAATTTCAACCAAACATGCCATAAAGCATCCTTGGGTGAAGGGAATTCAAGTTTGGTTAAATGAAGAGCCACACCCTCTTTCAAATGGAGATAATTAAGAATTAGTGAAAATTTAGTGGTATCTTTAAAAATCTTCTTCTCAAGATCCACTGGACAAAAAAATTTGAAACTTATATGAAACTTTTTTTTACATAGTGTAGATTCAAATTTGTTCAAATCATGACCCCCCGGGGAAGAGTGGGGCCACAATGGGGGATCAAAGTTTTACATAGGAATATATAGGAAAAAAATCTTCTCAGGAACAGCAAAGACATGATTGTTCATATTGATATGGAAGCATCCTCAGGTAGTGTAGACTTAGTTTGTTCAAATCTTGACCCCGGGAGATATGGTAGTACAGCAATGAGGTATCAACGTTTTACATAGGAATATTTTGGAAAAAAAATCTTCAAAAATCTTCTTCTCAAGAATGGAGGAGTCATGATTAGTCATATTAATATGGAAGCATCCTCAGGTAGAAAGTGTAGATTAAGTTTGTTCAAATCTTGACCCCTGGGGGGTAGGGTAGGACAACAATGAGGGATCAATGTTTTACATAGGAATATTTTGAAAATGAAAAAAAAATGCACTATCAGAATTTAACATATGAAAGTATAGGAAAATGTTATCTAAAATTTTTTTCTCAAGAAGAGCAAAGCCATGTTTTGTCACATTGATATGGAAGTATCTTCTGGTAGTGTAGATTCTAGTCTGTTTTAGAAATTGTTCATAGGTAGAGAATGCTCTTGCGTATCGAATCAACTGAGAGATAAACACCCCTTGTGCTTGTGATAAGGATATATTGCTGCGTAAGGGAAGTTGACGATAGAAAAGGTATAGTAATCACATTTATCATAAAGCCTTTAATTGTTAGATTACCATTAACGATTTTTTTTCTAGTAAAATATCCAAATAGAAACAGATGTGTCAGACTCTGTGGTATCTTTTTTTTCAAGCTTACTGGGATATATCGGGTCGACATATGAATGGAAATAACTATAATTGTTAACTGATGAAACATCGTCGATATATCTAAATGTCGAGCTGAAGGCCATAGCAAAATATTTCTTTTTCTCATGTATAAGATTTTGAATAAATTCTGCTTCATATAAATACGAAAATAGGTCTGCTAACAACGGGGCGCAATTGGTACCCATGGGAATTCCAACAGATTGTTTGAAGACCTGGTCTCCAAAAACCAATATATCACGAAAAGTATATCATCAAATGCACAATATTTCATACTGTTTATTTTTAGACAAAAATGAGGTACATCAACAAGTAATGTTAACATGCTAACATGCTGTAAATAGAATTTTTTCAAATATAATCAATATATACAATATATATAATTTCGATCCACCATTTGATTTTTTGGGTCAGCAACAGTAGAGGGCGCTTGATTTAATATTGTTGTAATTGACATTTCCATACCAGTACCATTCATATTTTCGGAATTTTGGTACCACCTTAAAAGCGTAGAGATACAATGAAATTAAACACTAACAACAATTAGCAAAGAACACTTGGAACTCCACACAGGCTGAGTACACGACGTAACACATAGAACTCAATTCTTATTTAAGTGCAGTTTTGCATATCCTCAAGTGCCATTTTCACTAAGTGCCGATCTCACTTGCACCCGAACTCAGATGATTCTTCACCCTTTTTTATGAAAGAAATAGCTTTAACTTAATACACAATTG